AAACAAGGACTTGTCGGCTCGGAGTCAGTATACTTTGTCTGAGTTGGGTAGTCATGTTAAACCGCGACATGGTATCTCAGTGAGCTAGCACTATAAATCGGCATCAGTCCGGACTAGTACAAGCAGCCACACACAACCTAATTTCACCTCACCTCACCTCACCTCACCTCACCTCACCTCACCTCACCTATATGAGTGTGAAGTGGCGGAAGTCGGTGACGTAGCATCAGCGTCTGTGACTGTGTCCTCGAGGTCAAGGTCGTCAGGGTCAAAGGAATTCGAAGTGTCCTCGTAGTTGTGTATGTGAGACTTGTTGGTCGGTTCGTCATGAATTGTGAATGTGAATAGACGACCTGATGGCGTTATTAGCTGTATAACAATAGGAAAACAAATTACAGAGTGTTACGTGCCGACTTCCAAATTGAAACAATATGTTATACTAGAAATATGTACGCAATTCAATGTGAAACCAACAAACAACAAAGGAATGGTATACAATGAACAATTGTATTACCAAATGAACTAGATTTGAAAATTAATACAAATTACCGCACAGCAATTACAATGGCAGTACACAACAGTGTGGCAAAACATACTATAAAAGCAGTGGTAATAAAATTCCCCTTGCAGAAACATTGGTCAAGTTTCCAATAAAAGCCTAGACTGTATATCCAGGGGGAAAACAATTATCTTCAAACGACCGATGGTCTTGATGTAATGTGAAATGCAATATGCACGTCCTTGCCCCTTTATATAGTCTAGGTATCGCCCAGAAGGTTCTATACAATACTGGACTCTTCTAGCTCATGATTCGAGATTACACTTAGTGGGGCGGTTAGGGGCGGTCGGGTAGCCTAGTGGTTCGAAGACCCGGGTTCGATTCCCGACATGGGTACAATGTGTGAAGCCCATTTCTTGTGTCCCCCGCCGTGATATTGCTGGAATATTGCCAAAAGCGGCGTCAAACCAAACTCACTCACTCACTCACTAGTGGGCGGTTAAGGCTGGATTTTAGTCAAAATTGTGCACTTTACGTTAAGAGCACCAAACTTGGCACACTTATACATTGAACCATTTCGTACATTTCTGGATATGGATCCACCTCAGCAGTGCCACCTGGTGGTAAAAAATCCAAGATGGCCGCCAAAATGGTTAAAATCTCTTATGACGTCAATTTACTAAAGCCCATGATTCTAGATTACACTGGATTCAAAAGACGTCTAAATATAGTAACCTCCACACCACTGCATAAATTAGATAGTGCTACATTTCAAACAATTATTGCCAAACCACAAAGCTATTAACTTCTACTAAATCTCAGTAACAGTAACTATGTAATGCATTTACAAAATTGTTTAAAATACATCATACTGCCTATAACATCTTTAACTTGGTCGCACTCAGCAATATTCCAGCCACATGATGGCGGTCTGTAAATAATAGTCCAGTAGTTGACATAATGAACATCGATCTACGCAATTGGGATACAATGACATGCATCATCCAAGTCACCCAACCACCAAGCCCGACCACCCGATCCCGTTAGCTGAAGACCTATTGTACACCGGATCGTGTACGGGATTCCAAAGCTCCATAACAATATCCTTACACAAAGAATTAACAAACAAAAATAATTTTATTCTCTTTGTAGGGATCTTGTTATGGAGCTTTTTAAGTCTCCCTCAGACCATCGTCATCACACTTCATACACAGGAGGCCATTTCATTTGGTGCAGTTGATAGATCGCATCTCCCACAGCTCCAAAACAAGGACCACTACATAGACAATAAACGGTTACATAAAATTGTTTGTTGTTTTTTTCTGTGTGGAGATTTTGTAATGAAAACTTTGGAATTATCCCTCAGACGCGATGTTATTGTCACACTTCTTCACACACAGGAGACCATTTCATTGCGTGTAGTAGAGAACAAGAACAGGACAGGTTAGGTATTTTCACGTTTTAATGAAATTTCCTTTAAAAATATTGCCGTACCTGTAAAAGCAAAAACAAACATCTTTCAGATTGGCAATAGCGAAGAAAATAAAAAAAACAATTATTAAAATAAGGGGGATTATCTGGAATTCAAATACACGACTATGGGGTGTCACCCGTGCCCCCAGGAGACGAACGAATTGATCATTTGTCGATTCACACATCATTTTGTCTGATAACTTCCGTGACCTATTATGTAAATAGGAAACAGATATGAACACCATATTAACAAAAGCAGCATCTCCAACAGTTTTGGAACAATCAACCAATCAAGGCATAATGATTTGATTTGTTCAGGATCGTGTGAATCGCCCTGAATATGACATCTCTAACCTCCCACGGATTTACTCAACAACTGCCTAACCCACCAATGACACTGGGAAATACACAGGACATGGACTATTCAAGCCAGCTGAACATATCGGGATCTCAGAGTCAGGGCAGTGTTGATTCGAATAGTACTAGCTGGGTCAAGACATTGTTTGATCAGATGCGTCACCTGACTGGCATGGTACACTATGTACAGCAGAAGGTGCAGCGAGTAGACAGCATTGATGATAAACTCACAATGATTGATGGTAAACTGACCTCGTTTGAAAATACCCTGAAGCAGACCATCACAAGGGTAGGTAAACTACTTGTGTCCAGAATTGTGTCTCAGCAAGCCTAGAATTTAATTCTGAAAGCACTAAAGAACGAAAGCGGCTGAAAGAGCATATTGACTACACTTCGTAGGAATGTGCTAGAATCGGTAGGGATGTGGATGATATATATTACGATGTAGACTCCCTGTACCAACAACAGAGTAATATGAAAGAAGCTGGAGTGGATCTTAAAGTGAGATCAATGAGAGACGGCCTCTTATTTCATTGCATACCGGAGATGATTGGCGAAGAGCAGAAAGATATCATAAAGGACTTCGTGAAGCGGGAGATGAAGCGTAACACAGAGATTAACCTTGTGAGAGTTCATGGAATGGGACCACGAAATGAAAACAGATCCCGTAGGATAGTGGCTAAGTTCACTAATTCTGATGAGAGATGGAACGTTCTAACCAGTGCGAAGAACCTGAAGGACACAAAGTTTGGCGTTAATGAACAGTTCCCACCTGAAATTTTGAACGGCGACGAGAGCTTCTCCCTTTGCTGAAAGAGGCTAAACGCAGAGGACTTAAGGCAAGTCTAACTGTTGATAGACTGTTTATTAACAATAGACGGTGTTTCCCTGGCGAGAATCCGTTCGAAAATTCGGGACAGTCTGTGTGGTCACTCAGATCTTCGTATGCCAATGTTCTCGAATATTCCCGAGATAAACAACTACGCAAGACGCAACGAATCGAAGAGGATCGAAGAGGATCGATCGTGACTTAGCACATCTCTAGGCATACAATGAACGTAGGTCTAAACGCTGCCAATGAAAATGATAATGTAAATATTTCGCTAAATGTTGTGCGTGAAGACCATTGTGATGTGTATGTTACAAATAACAATATTGTGTCACCCATCAACAAAAAAGCATGTGAATCTAATTGAAACGATATTCGTGTACATGCAGATAATGATATACCAACAGAGCAGCCTGTGTATGAATGAGCCCTCGCCAACAGGCGCTTTCATATCACGTAACAGTGAGGGTTCTCATTTTAAACTGATTTATTTAAATGTGTGTGGTGTGAAATCGAGATAACTTATTCCTGAATTTACGAATTTTATTTCAAATTATGAAATTTTATGCTTTGTTGAACAAAACTACATGAATTTGATTGTATTGACATTCCTGGATATGCAATGTTTTATAAACATATAATTACAAGTACTGGTAGAAAATCAGGCAGTATAGCCGTTGCTATGAAGCATGAATATGTACAGCATTTCCGAAGAATGGCCGAATCCTCGGAATATGCTATATGGTTTCTCGCTTCCCATGAAATATTAAATGTACCCTGTATTGGAGATGTAAATATTGTTATCTCATATATCCCACCAGAGGGTTCGCTATATTACTCTGACGAAACATTTCCAAAACTGCATATTGAAATCTCGTGTAAATTGTCAGTAGATTGCGACAATAGTATTTTTATCATTGGTGACTTCAATGCGAGGACACGTACTTTGTCAGATTTTATGACAACAAACTCAAGCTCTATCACGAAGATATATTCCTCAACGATTTGGTTGACTATATGGATGATGTTGAAAGACTAAAATGCACCTTTACCCAGTGATATATGTCTTTGGTAAAAAACACTAATATAATAGCAAGTAAGAATTGAATCAAGTAACTTTTTATTGCTGTTAGTTTCGATACTCACGCCACGTATGTCACTTTCCTGTATATTCTGGAAGGCAGGAATTTCCTTCCTCAGTTCAAGCAACTTTAGACCATAAGGAAAAATATATTCAGGCGCATTCATCTATCTTAATTTTCCAAGAGACATATTCTAGGGATAGATCCTCAGTTCCAATTTCTCACTATTTAACAATGACGAGGTTATTCACTCATTAGAGAGCTGAGTTAATTAACTCTCAAGTGTTTCCTGATCCCAACCGGCTAAATTGGCTGTCTATACAGTTTGCCGATTTTTGACAGAGCGTTAATTAAGCTATGTATGGTAATGCAGTTGCAGTGGTGTCGTGCCTGGTTAGCGAAAATCCAATTTTCCCTAGTATCAGTAAAGCGAAAACCCAAGTTGGTATTTGTCCTACGAAAGCGAGAAATGAGTAATTACTATGAAAACACCGGATTAGCGTAGTTTAGATTAGCTCCCGTGCTGTTCAAACAGAGGAGAGGAGATTTACTAGAGAGTCGTTTCGTAAAAAATAATACAGTTGGATGTTTAAACACAGGAGAAGAGATGATCAGTTTCTTAAATGAACAAACAATTAGTTTCTTAGTTGATATAGGTTATGATACCGATGAGTTTAGAGGAGAGTCGTTTCTTAAGAATACATACAGGATGTATTTGATGGTATATATAAAGAGTGCAACTTATTTATCTATGGTCAAAATGGCTAACGCACAAGTTCGAGTGACCATGGTTGATACCGTGCGAGGTGGTCAGCACTTGTTTTATGAGGGATTCAAGTTTCGTTGTAAGAAAACGGTCCGTGAGAAGAAGTATTGGAACTGCGTTGTTGCTGCCTGCAGAGCGTCGGTGATCACTGAAAACAGCATTCTTCAAGCGGCTTTGCAGGTAAGAAAATAATGCACATGATCATGATGATAATAATCTTACAGATTAGACTCAAAAGACTTTGCTTAAAAAACTATTCGGTTATTTATTTTACTTATTATTATTACTTATTTTTAGATACCAAAGGTATTTGTCACATGTATGTATTTGTTAATAGTTAATATTAGTTGAAATGCAATTATTTAATTGCAGGTGAACCATACCCACCAACCTATCCCATATGAGATGGAAGTGGAATCTTTCAAGTCCAGGCTCATCCACCGTGCTAAGACGGAAACAACGCCGATTCCAACCATATACGGAGATGAGATTTCCAGACTTCGCCGCCACCACGACGTAGTTCCAGACGACCTGCTTAAGGAAATTCCTTCCTTTGCATCCCTGAAGACCATTCTGTACCGACAACGCCACAAGACCCTTCCTAAACTTCCTGCCACCCGACCTGAGATTCATCGTGGGTGGAAGGACGCCAATTCGGACCTGAGATCTGGAACCGTTTTGGTAACCAAGGGCATCGCACTAACAATAACGTCGAGGGGTGGAATCACAAACTCAACAAACTTGCCAGGAAGAGCCATCCGAACATTTTTGAAGTTGTTACGCTATTTCAAAGAGAACAAATCAACGTAGAAGTCGCCATTCAAGATACCGGCTGATTGACAACCGTCTTCAGGCTCTGAAAGACATTCTCAACAACAACGTCATCGGCGAATTCGAAGTTGAGTACACAGATCAAGTTGGTGACCTGATCCACTTGGAGTGAATGACTTGAACACAACGTGTATGCCAGTGCACCCGCAAATTTATTATAGAATGTATTTATGTATTTACCATTATATTTTAAGATATGTTATTTTTGATTTTGTAGAAATTATAATGTACATCTATGAAATATTAAAGTATTAGAGTTATTAAGTTTGTTAAATGTAAAGTACTTTTGTGCAACTATACTATACTTCAGCATCAGTAAATTACTACTGTGATTACGGTATACGCATTTCTGTGTTTTTCTTGTAATTTGAGAGTCCCAGTACAGCAATATCCCGTGTTTACTGTAGCGTGACCAATCTTATTGTAGCTTCACGAAAGCGAAGAGATTTTAGAGTTGATTATGGCTAGGTTTCGCTCTTCCGGCCCAGAACCGTTGCAGTTGCCGTTATACAGTTGCTTAGCTAATCAGCTTGTGTATTTGATCTCGTGTATTACTCAGTGATCATTGTCAGTGTCATCTGGGGTGTTGATCCTTTAGATCGCTTCTCCTTAGTTACATTCAGCTGATACGTTTATGAACGTTATACGTTATCTATTCAATCATTTTATTTCCAATACATATACAGGCCACAGGTCTTTGTGTACAAAAGCAGAGTACAGACAGGTTTTAAACATTCGGTTTCGCATTTATTACATCATTTGCATAATATAGATATTTAGCTAGATTTGTAATAATATATGTATCTGGTGATGACAGAAGCATATTAAATCTATGAACGTTAGGTTGACAATAGAACTTTGCTTTGAGATATAGTTGCCGTTACTTGACATAGTTGGAACAAATAAGCAGGAAGTGGTACTCGGTTTCAACACAGTCTATTTTACAAAGTTTGCATTTTCTTAAATTTATTGGAATTTTGTAATGACGTCAATTCTCCGTTTCAACTCAGTCTGAATCTCGTGAGGGTTGTTGTCATATTTTGCGAATTTAAAAATGACAAATTAGGTTCTCATTTAACACACGTTTTAAAACAAACATAATGTGACATTTTTGAACTTGCAAGAAGATCGCTATTCTGATTTCTATAACCGTCTATTTTCACCTTATGACTCCCTGTCTCACGAGCACAGACATGTGACAAATGTTAACAAGTAGCTATAGCAACCACTTTGAGAGGTCATTATCGTGACAGTTTCCGATGTTGCCCATCAATCACGCAGCTGCTAAATGAAAAGTTGTGATAAACGGTACAAACTTAGTGAAAACACTTTCATGACAACGGAAGGCGACAGCTGCAGAGCTTACTGATCGATGTTAAGAGATTTCGTTCAAATTTGGTATTTAGGTACAATGTATTCCAGGCCTCTTACCATTGCAATGTATGTAACCGTGGCATCTGACTCGTCGAAATTAAGAAGTTCGATTTCGTTCAAATATATTTATATATAAATTTTGCACATTTTATTACAAAAGCAACGGAACGGAGTCCTGGTCCAAATGTAGATAATTCGCCCTATTTAAGACCCTTTTCCCATACTTATAATAGAGTAGCGCCAACCCTTAAAACGAGGCTTATTTAAGGAGTAACCCCTCCCCAAGTAGAACAAAGAACAACCATATTTGTCTTCATAAAATGTCATTAATGCATTAGAAAACGATGGTTGAAGTGATTTCTTTTGATGGCAGTATTTTGGTGGTAAAATGCATATTGTGACAAATTTTAACAAGTAGCTATAGCAACCACTTTGAGAGGTCATTGTTCTGAGAGTTTTCCATGTTGCCTATAATCACCTCACGCAGGTGCTAATTTGAAACGTTAAATCTAATAATGATTAACGGTACAAACTTAGTGGAAACACTTCCAATAGAACGTGACATTCGTGTGTGGCTTCTTGTACTAGAATGTACTGATGCCGATTTATAGTGCTAGCCCAATGAGATAGCCCATAAACATATTTAAGATGATTTTGAATGTTAACAAGAAAAATGTTCGGACGAAGTTGTTGCCTTTCAAAGTATGGTAAACTATATAGAGAATCTCACCCGAGTGTTTTTTTATATCAAATATATCAACACGAGTTGATAAAAGTGGGAAAATTCCGAGGCTTGCCGAGGATTTTTGCCACTTTTATCAACGAGTGTTGATATATTTGATGTCAAAAGACACGAGGGTGAGATTTTATTTATCATCCAACATCATTCTTCCAACTTTTTCAATTTGGAGACAGTAATTAGCAGTGTCTTCAGTGTAAAAAGTACTGCTAACAGCTTCAGTAGCAGAGCCATTAGTGATGTCATTTGATTGTGATGTCATGGTAACCAGTGATGTCACAATGGTCTGCAAAGCATTGTGATGTAATTTCATTGCAGCGGTATCTACAGTGTAGATATCGCTTGATCTCATCCAAGCGATATCTCCTGTGGGAGCCAGTTTTGGATGATAAATCGCGTTTCGCCCGGTTTTGCCGTATATCACTTGGGGGTATCATTACTTCTTGGGTTGTCATCTCACTAATGATCCACTGATCATCAATGGTGATTGATGCCATATATGCGTACATCTCCAATGATGTATCAATAATTGGTATTCGGTGAATATGGACCAACATATGGCAAATCAAACGTCATATTTCCCGACAAAACCAAATTGTTCTCGCGGAAACCATTAAACCGGTAAATGTTCTAGGTACGTGTACCTGATTCCACTATAATCTTCTAAAACATTTTCCAGTACATCTCTTGAAGTACTTCTTAACATGTGATGTTACCATTTGTAACAAATTTATTCTCATAATATCAGAGTGGGATACCCAATATTGCCTTTTCGGCTTTGGTACATTGGAACAACGCTTCGATGAAAGCTCAGGATTTGGCTTGTCATCTTTTGTATTATTCGCCGATCTCGATATGTTATATACCACTGGAAACCATATATAAACAACTTAATTTTATTTACGCTGATTATTGATCTACTTGTGGACAATCATATAGAATACTTTTTGACAACTCTGATATCTCGCACTTTTTTATGCATATAAGATGTTTACAGTAAAATGCTCGAGTCGATTTTAGAACTTTGAATGACATGGACCTATGTGAAACATATTTAAGATGGCATACATAACGCTGCGCAAACAAACTGATCATAATGTAAATGTTATTTATTTCAGCAAATATACAAATACATTTCTGGTACGCAGGCTTGATATTTTGACCATTTTTGCCGTTTCAAGTTGAGTTTCAAATTCTTTATTACAGCTACTAGTAATTTGCAGTGGGCACCACCGAAGGTAAAAAACGAATTCATTTTCTAACATTTAATTCATACATAACGTAACTACTAAAGTTTCCAATTGACAGAAAATGTCCAAATGCGATTCGTCCAATGATATTCCAATTACAACAACAGTAAGTTTCTCTTGCAGAATACCCAAATAAATATATATTGTGAGTGAGTGAGTTGGGTTTAACGCCACTTTTAACAGGATTCCAGTTATATCACGGCGTGTCAGCTTAATGTGGAAGGAAAGCCCGAAGTGATGCAGGTCTCAGACGTTTACCACTTCGGTGAAACCCACGAGCACGGGTATGGTGCTGACAAACCTAGAAACATAATCGGGGCGAACCGGGATTTGAACCCTACCCAGGTACCCACTGTAGGCCTCAAGAGATCCGTACAAAATGTCCGATTGGGCAGTCTTTTACCATAGCACTGGCAAAACGTTTTAACATACATGTACTAAACAATCTGTTTCTTATTGCATTGACAAGATTCGCTACGTCGTTCGTACTTCTTGTTTATATTTTTTCAATTGGGGTTTCGACAAACCTAGAAACATAATCGGGGCGAACCTGGATTCGAACCCACAATCATAGGTTTCTGGCGTGCAAAAGGGACGCAACTCTGCACAGCGAATCGCCACCCGTGCCCCCGTTCCTTTTAAGTAGTCTTAAGAAAGAGCCCCCTATTGATCAGGCGATAGCCCCATTGTAATTGGCTCTACGGTCTAAAAGATTGGTGTTCTGGCTTCGCCTGGACCTGGGCCCACTTGCACAAAGCGATCTTAGCGCTAAGATGATCGTAACTCCCATACTTTAACATAGGCTTACAATAGTCGTAGCGCTAAGATCGCTTTGTGCAAGTGGCCCCTGGACCTGAGTGTCATTATACGTCGAGACGAAATTGAGGGACATCTGATGCCACTCCCAAATTTGAAGCTGTCAAGCTCTCGGTTTCTGAGATAGCTGCTGCTAAAAGTCGCAATCTCATTCAAATCAGATCTAAGTTCTCGCTGCCGCTAAACAATGATCTGAGGACATACCCTCACGGGTCACGTCGGAATGACCTTTCGCAAAAATGGATCAACAAGAATTCGACATCAGCGAACGAGAAAGCAGCTTGAAGCAGCAGGTGAAAGGTCGTTCTGGCGTTACCAGTAATGGGATGTCCTCAGATCTTTGTTAGCATAGCTAGAACTAAGATCTGATTTTAATGAGATTGGTAATTTTTAAGTCGCTTTCACTGAATTATTTTTGAATTATTCTCCCTCAGCCCTTGAGTCAACTGCCTTGACATTTTTTAGGGTCACTGTCTTTAGGTGCGTGCAGATCCTGATTTTTTTAGACCTTCTGACAATTGACATAAAATAATATATATAATAAAAAACAGAACGATAACAATCGGGCTCTTTGCCTTCTGGGCGTTGGGCCTAGTTGTTAAAGCATTCGATCCACACACCAAAGACACGGGTTTGAATCCCCGCATGGGATGTGTGAAGCCCATGTCTGGAGTCCCCCGCTGGGATATTGGTAGAACATGCTAAAAGAGGTCCAACACCATACTCACTCACTCATAACCTTGAGTTCTTGGAGCCCTAATAATACGCCTTGGGGACTGGTCTTGCCTGTCCACTAAAACATGCTTCGCCTTTGGCTCCTAAAGCGTAAGGTGTACTTGAAACTTTGCAACAATCACCTCACCACAAGATAGACACAATTTTATGGATAACAACTTCTTTAATACTGTAAAAAGCGACGTTTCGGTATAGATCCTTATACCGTTGTCAAGCAAGACTGAATGAGGGACATAGTGCAGAATATATATAGCAAGTGGAGGATTAACAGTAGAGGATTAACAGTAGAGGATTAACAATAACAACGAGGGCATACATGAGTGGGATAACATAGGTAGGTATCCCACTCATGTATGCTTTTTACAGTATTAAAGAAGTTGTTATCCATAAAATTGTGTCTATCTTGTCATCCGCCAACTTCTAAGTAATGCCTATCAAACAAGTTAATCACCTCACCGACTGCATCTACCCATTCTTAAATCCAAGATGGCGGCTAAACGGTTAAAATTAGCACATTGGTAGTAGCAGTCGAAAATGATCAGCAAATGTGGAAGCCATCGGGCCTATAGCTTTTATACGTCTTCCGAAATGTTCAGTATCTAATGATTATGCTTGAAGCCAATTTGTAATACTTTCCTTGAAGAACCTGGGCAGAACGTCTTTTGCAAAGTTGAGAGGAGCAGAATTTGGCAAACAAGTACTGAAACATATGGGTAAAATGCATGGCAAAAACCTCAATCCTGCCAAATGATGCCATTTAATGACATGGGACATCAAGACGAAACACAGACTTGACAGGGACCCGCGAAGACCCGGGGTAGAATATGATTTCACCAACCCATGCTTGCCGTAAAAGGTGACTGTTTGTGGTAAGAGGGCACTAACGGCTCGCTGACTTGGTTGATGCATGTCATCAATCCCAATTGCGTGGACTGATGCTCATGTTGTCAATCAATTGGATTGTCCGGTCTAGACTCAATTATTTACTGACCGCCGTCATATAGCTGGAACATTGCTGTAACCTAGATGGGTGAAGGACAAAGAATTTATTTTCTTGACAGAATACAAAAATGTTAATTTGTTAATATCATAATGTCCAAATCTGTACAATAATATTCCATTCTTCAAACTACTCCATTCTTCAAATTACATCAGATAACTTATAAGTATTGGCATTTCTACAAAATCAATAGTTCACACTCATCAGCATTCAATGATAATTTGGCTGGTTTGTTGTTTAATGCAACACTCTGCAGTATTCCAGCTGTATGATGGATATATTCAATAATGAAGTCAGGACCAGACAATCCATTGTTTGATATGGTGAGCAACGATCCACGCAATCAGCCAAGTCTCAGAGTCTGATCACCCAATCCATTTTGTCGCCTCTTACAACAAGCATCCGTTTCTGGGGACTTGTTCTATCCTGGGGACCCCCATAGGCTCCATCATGCCAAACTGTACACATCACACGATTTCAACAGTGACAACCCGGCAGCTATATTGGTATCAGAGGGTGTTTGAGTCAAGTTTACTCCGCTTTGAAAAGAACTTGATTTATATCCCGGAAAGACCAAGACATTTACACCACTTTTGGCAAAGCTTGTTGCGATGACCTGTGAAGGCCCAGGTTAGAATTGGTCTTCAGCAACCCATGCTTGTCATAAAAGGTGACTAACGGGATCGGTTGGTCAGGCTCAGTGACTTGGTTGATACATGTCATCATATCACAGTTGCGTAGATCGCTGCTCATATTGTCAATCACTGGATTGTCTGGTCTATGCTCGATTATGTACAGATGGCCATCATATAGCTGGATTACTGCTGAGTGTGGTGTTAAAACAACAAACAAGCAAAAAGTGAAAACCTTGGATTCATACAAATGATAAGCAGATCCTGCCAATGCTAAGGGAAATAACCCTGCTTGGTCACTGCCGCACCTTCAAAGAATTATAACAATTAAGTACATAAGTAACAACAAGCAGAACCATAAAATAGTAGCTCACCGTGATATGTGAAGAAGATCTCTAAACATATTGTTGGCTACCTGGCTACCATATTGAAATTGCCATTTTAATGACTTCAACCCGATATGAACCTCTTATAACAAATACTCACATAAACTTTCAATAAAAGTTAAAAATATTAAAAGTTGGACAGTGTTGACATAAGCTCAGATAGCACTATAATCCAGGTGAGCTAAAAATATCCAGAATTGATTGGATAATAGACTGGTGATTCCAACACCATCTCCCATGTATTGTGTTAAGGATTGACTGTGTATTTTTTTCGGTTCATTGAGGTAAGAATCGAAAACCTGATGTGCAAACTGTATGTATACATGTAGCAGATTCTTACAAAAGTTTACACATTGGTTTTTCGATTCATACCTCAATGAACCGAAAAAAAATATACAGTCAATGCTTATAATTAAATTCGACAACGTAAAACATGTTTTATCTACAATAATTTAACAAAAAACAGTTGTATATATCAAAACAGACAAAAATGACGAGATTGATAAACATTACAGGTGTAGGAATACATACTGTGGCGTGACATGAATCAGCATGATCAGGTGATCGTTTAATTTATGCACATAACTTGACACGCCTACAGTCAGTAACCAATCAACAGAGAGTAGAATCAAAACATTGTTCATTGGACCTGTCAATTAAGGCAAGAGGCGAAAAGAACTGCAACAGTCAGACTGTAACGAACCGGAAAAAATACTAGTATGTCTGGGAGAAGGCGGCTGTTTCAAATAACATGGTCAGTTACCGCCAGATTCAAACATTACTTCCCTGATTACGGTAAAAAACAGTAGGAAAAATGCTAGTCAGAAATGAGACCCGAAGACGTGAAAGTTGAACCGAGGCGAGCGGGGAAAAAAACAGGTGAGCGAGCCTGCACGTTTGCTGTTTCATTCATACTAGGCCTTCGGTTTCAAAGGGTAGTTTGGACAAAGAATATGCATGAAAGTCGCTAAATGTCCTGTGCATGACGATACACTTCAGCACATTTGCCCAATGTGGAGGAAAGCCCGAAGTGATGCAGGTCTCAGATTAATCTGATGGACCAGGATTCAAACCCCCTTCATGGATTTCTGGGATGCAACTCTGCACAGCAGCATCTCAGATGATGGGACACCCATGGCCGTGTCGAGGATGACCAGTATGGTGACAGCTCCAGTTTCTTTACTCTTGTATGATCTTTGCAGATTTATTATTTTAGACTAAATGGGCCAACATAGGCAGGTAGAAGAAGAAACGACTTGTACAATACATACACAGATTTATCCACATGAGTGAGTGAGTTGGATTATCGCCACTTTTAACAGTATTCCAGTTATATCGCAGCGTGTCAGCTTAATGTGGGAGGAAAGCCTAAACTGATGCAGGTCTCAGATGTTTACCACTTCGGTGAAACCCACGAGCATGGGTATGGTGCTGACAAACCTAGAAACATAATCGGGGCGAACTGGGATTCGAACCCACAATCATAGGTTTCTGGCGTGCCCAAGGGACGCAACTCTGCACAGACGACTGGACCACCCGTGCCCCCTATCCATATGAATATCAATGGGGGTATTCAAAGACTTCACAGGGACCGAGCATGTTGTAAGGTAAAACCCGCAGTGAAGTCTGTAGACATGTTTTAGTTGCTGTTGTTTTAAGTGTTTAAAAGATCACCTGCCTAAGCAATTTCTGACATGTACCTCTTTGGGACTAATGTTGTTGTAGTTGTTTGTTGTTTAATGCCGCACTCAGCAATATTCCAGCTATATGACGGAGGTCTGTAAATAATCGAGTCTGTCCCAGTTGAAGATGCTCAACAAACAAGAGAGACCTGTATGTCGGCTGGTTTGGTGAGGACTAATTGCAGTTTCTTGTCCTCGAGTCGGAAGGCAGAGAGTATGGCCTGACGATTCAGGATCTTGGAAACTTTCTCATCTCCTGGAAACGCCAACACAAATTAATGGCTACTGGATAAGTTTGTATGTTGTTTTTTTGTTTAACGTCACACTCAGCAATATTCCAGCTATATGACGGAGGTCTGTAAATAATCAAGTCTGGACCAGACAATCCAGTGTTAGCCTCATGAGCATCGATTCACGCAATTGGGATACAGTGACATGTAGCAACCAAATTTCAGTTTCTTGTCCTCGAGTCGGAAGGCAGAGAGTATGGCCTGACAATTCAGGATCTTGGAAACTTTCTCATCTCCTAGAAACGCCAACACAAATTAATGGCTACTGGATAAGTTTGTATGTTGTTTTTTTGTTTAACGTCACACTCAGCAATATTCCAGCTATATGACGGAGGTCTGTAAATAATCAAGTCTGGACCAGACAATCCAGTGTTAGCATCATGAGCATCGATTCACGCAATTGGGATACAGTGAAATGCAGCAACCAAGTCATTGAGCCTGACCACTCATCATGTGTGTGAGCAAAGGCATACATATCTATTGTGAGTTATCGTATTGATATGATTTTAATTTTTACTTCTAAGAATAGAACTTCTTTGGCTTCACTGTTTATATGTAATTGAGTAGACACTTCCTCTTGAACGATGTTTATATACTAACTTACATGTACATATGGTATATTTTTGGTTTGGATAAAATGACCAACCACAACATGGTAAGGTTGTATGAACCAACCATTTAAGGAATAATATTTATGTGAATATTATTATAAGGTTTTGAACTATTCAAAATCTTTAGATGTGTACCCTTTGACACTAACTGGGTGGTGGTGACGTCTTTTGTTTTAGATGGTTAGCTCTAGGAAATTAGGTTTCTAGGCAAACAAAATTGAACAGAATCTATTTTCAATTTGGTTGTAGTCAGTCGAATCCATAAAAACAAAAAACTAACCAATTGTACAGAAATAAAGGGACATAGAGAAGCAGCATGTGATTAATATTCTTATAAAAAAATATGTTCTTGAGTAAATGCATCAACATGTATTTTTTCCAGAAAAAGATTGGAACATATATCAGGAAAACATGAATACGAATATGAATACGAGAATATAAGTACAACAAGATATCCCCACAATGGTAAATACTTGTCATGAATATGTCAACTAGATAGATATATATTTATTTTGTTGCCATGGAAACTCAAAAAATTTTTTTTTAATCCCAAAAGGCACCAGTTCACTGCTAGACCAAAATCCATGCCAAGTATGATGAAGAAATGTGGTACGGTTTTCAAGATCTGCTCTGGAAAAGACATGCATGACATGGGCGGATGCACGGACTGACTAACTGATTGTATCCATTTTCATACCCCTTGCAAAACGCATTGCAGAGGATAAATATCATTACACACAGAAAGCATGATTGAGTTTCAATTATACTGTATTTTCTTAAGTATAGTGTGCACTAAGCATACAAAATGTTCATCACATTATTCAGCAAATTAAAGTAAATGAACAGGTGATAATAAACTTGGTCCTTAAAACGGTGAAATTTGAGTGGTAGGGGTAGTATGGTTTACGTGATCTCTTTTGGAAGAGGGGCTCTGGAAATGATCCTCAACATCACTACCGGTATGTCCTATCTGGTCCAATACAAAAAGGACCCCCTCAGTGGTCCGGTGGTAGGGCCTCTGATCTTGCCAGGGCATACCATGCCAGGACGTTACTTGTCGTTACCCTGCCTGGTGCTCGGCATCAAGGGGCTAAAACAAGGACTGGTTGGCTCGGAGTCTGTGTCTGAGTAGGGTATTCATGTTAAACTGCGGCATGGTTTCTCAGTGGGCTAGCACTATAAAAATCGCATTTGTAGGTGCTAGTGCAAGCATCTTCAAGACATAGTGTTAACATCGTCTAGGCATAGTGATTACATCTTCAAGACAGTGTTTACATCATCAAGACAGTGTTTACATCATCAAGACAGTGTTTACATTATTAAGACATAGTTTCCCTCTTTAAGACATAGTGTTTACATCTCCAAGACAGTGCTTACATATTCAAGACATAGTGTTTACATCTTCAAGACAGTGTTTACATCTTTGGGACATAGTGCCTGCATATTCAAGACATAGCGTTTACATCTTCAAGACAGTGCTTACATATTCAAGACATAGCGTTTACATCTTAAAGACAGTGTTACATTGTTAAGACAGTGTTTACATCTTCAAGACAGTGTTTACATTTTAAAGACAGTGTTATATTGTTAAGACAGTGTTTACATCTTCAAGACAGTGTTTACATTTTAAAGACAGTGTTTCCATTTTCAAGTCATAGTGTTTTCTCTGGCACATGACCTATCTTTTCATGACATCTGGCAACCTGAAAATATATAATTTTTATACACACAAACAACTCCATTTAAAATGAGAAGGAGCCCCAGTGAGACAGTTTCATACACTGTCCTCCTGTCTGTGCACTGCCTCTGGAGGCCTCTTCTGTTCTTCAAATATAGTCTTCTAAATCTAGAAATAATTTGCCATAAAATAATAATATAAATAGTTTTACTGAAAAGACATTTCAAAATTGCACTAGAGTAGCATTGTTTCTATTTTTCTTGAAAAGCAAACTCCTAACACAAGACCCTGACATTCTGTCAACATCCCCCAATGTTCCATCTACACCTTCTTTGCCTCCACCTCAGCCTGCTTCCTTCTTTGTGCTGCCAGCAGCATGTTGGAGAAGATCATAATAATGCCGGCCAGGATGATCATGGCGCCTCCAAAGTAAAATGCCAAGGTAAAGTCCCCAAACACATCTCTGAACACACCTGAAACAGCCAAGGAAAAGTCTCCAATCACATCCCTGAACACACCTGAAACACACCCAAGGTAAAGTCCCCAAACACATCCCTGAACACACCTGAAACAGCCAAGGTATAGTCCCCAAACACGTCCCCAAACACATCCCTGAACACACCTGAAACAGCCAAGGTATAGTCCCTAAACACATCCCTGAACACACCTGAAACAGCCAAGGAAAAGTCTCCAATCACATCCCTCAACACACCTGAAACAGCCAAGGAAAAGTCTCCAATCACATCCCTGAACACACCTGAAACACACCCAAGGTAAAGTCCTCAATCACATCCCTGAACACACCTGAAACACACCCAAGGTAAAGTCCTCAATCACATCCCCCAACACACCTGAAACACACCCAAGGTAAAGTCCTCAATCACATCCCTGAACACACCTGAAACACACCCAAGGTAAAGTCCCCAATCACATCTCTGAACACACCTGAAACAGCCAGAAAGTCCCTAATCACATCCCTGAACACACCTGAAACACACCCAAGGTAAAGTTCCCAATCACATCCCTGAACACACCTGAAACAGCCAGAAAGTCCCCAAACACATCCCTGAACACACCTGAAACACACCCAAGGTAAAGTCCTCAATCACATCCCTCAACACACCTGAAACACACCCAAGGTAAAGTCCTCAATCACATCCCTGAACACACCTGAAACACACCCAAGGTAAAGTCCTCAATCACATCCCTGAACACACCTGAAACACACCCAAGGTAAAGTCCTCAATCACATCCCTGAAAACACCTGAAACACACCCAAGGTAAAGTCCTCAATCACATCCCTGAACACACCTGAAACACACCCAAGGTAAAGTCCTCAATCACATCCCTGAACACACCTGAAACACACCCAAGGTAAAGTCCTCAATCACATCCCTGAACACACCTGAAACACACCCAAGGTAAAGTCCTCAATCACATCCCTGAACACACCTGAAACACACCCAAGGTAAAGTCCTCAATCACATCCCTGAACACACCTGAAACACACCCAAGGTAAAGTCCTCAATCACATCCCTCAACACACCTGAAACACACCCAAGGTAAAGTCCCCAATCACATCCCTGAACACACCTGAAACACACCCAAGGTAAAGTCCTCAATCACATCCCTGAACACACCTGAAACACACCCAAGGTAAAGTCCTCAATCACATCCCTCAACACACCTGAAACACACCCAAGGTAAAGTCCTCAATCACATCCCTGAACACACCTGAAACACACCCAAGGTAAAGTCCTCAATCACATCCCTGAACACACCTGAAACACACCCAAGGTAAAGTCCTCAATCACATCCCTGAACACACCTGAAACACACCCAAGGTAAAGTCCTCAATCACATCCCTGAACACACCTGAAACACACCCAAGGTAAAGTCCTCAATCACATCCCTGAACACACCTGAAACACACCCAAGGTAAAGTCCTCAATCACATCCCTCAACACACCTGAAACACACCCAAGGTAAAGTCCTCAATCACATCCCTCAACACACCTGAAACACACCCAAGGTAAAGTCCCCAATCACACCCAAGGTAAAGTCTCCAATCACATCCCTGAACACACCTGAAACACACCCAAGGTAAAGTCCTCAATCACATCCCTGAACACACCTGAAACACACCCAAGGTAAAGTCCTCAATCACATCCCTGAACACACCTGAAACACACCCAAGGTAAAGTCCTCAATCACATCCCCCAACACACCTGAAACACACCCAAGGTAAAGTCCTCAATCACATCCCTGAACACACCTGAAACACACCCAAGGTAAAGTCCTCAATCACATCCCTGAACACACCTGAAACACACCCAAGGTAAAGTCCTCAATCACATCCCTCAACACACCTGAAACACACCCAAAGTAAAGTCCTCAATCACATCTCTCAACACACCTGAAACACACCCAAGGTAAAGTCCCCAAACACATCCCTGAACACACCTGAAACACACCCAAGGTAAAGTCTCCAAACACATCCCTGAACACACCTGAAACACACCCAAGGTAAAGTCCTCAATCACATCCCTCAACACACCTGAAACACACCCAAGGTAAAGTCCTCAATCACATCCCTGAACACACCTGAAATACACCCAAGGTAAAGTCCTCAATCACATCCCTGAACACACCTGAAACACACCCAAGGTAAAGTCCCCAATCACATCCCTGAACACACCTGAAACACACCCAAGGTAAAGTCCCCAATCACATCCCTGAACACACCTGAAACACACCCAAGGTAAAGTCCTCAATCACATCCCTGAACACACCTGAAACACACCCAAGGTAAAGTCCTCAATCACATCCCTGAACACACCTGAAACACACCCAAGGTAAAGTCCTCAATCACATCCCTGAACACACCTGAAACACACCCAAGGTAAAGTCCTCAATCACATCCCTGAACACACCTGAAACACACCCAAGGTAAAGTCCTCAATCACATCCCTGAACACACCTGAAACACACCCAAGGTAAAGTCCTCAATCACATCCCTGAACACACCTGAAACACACCCAAGGTAAAGTCCTCAATCACATCCCTCAACACACCCGAAACACACCCAAGGTAAAGTCCCCAATCACACCCAAGGTAAAGTCCTCAATCACATCCCTGAACACACCTGAAACACACCCAAGGTAAAGTCCTCAATCACATCCCTGAACACACCTGAAACACACCCAAGGTAAAGTCCTCAATCACATCCCTGAACACACCTGAAACACACCCAAGGTAAAGTCCTCAATCACATCCCTCAACACACCTGAAACACACCCAAAGTAAAGTCCTCAATCACATCTCTCAACACACCTGAAACACACCCAAGGTAAAGTCCCCAAACACATCCCTGAACACACCTGAAACACACCCAAGGTAAAGTCTCCAAACACATCCCTGAACACACCTGAAACACACCCAAGGTAAAGTCCTCAATCACATCCCTGAACACACCTGAAACACACCCAAGGTAAAGTCCCCAATCACATCCCTGAACACACCTGAAACACACCCAAGGTAAAGTCCTCAATCACATCCCTGAACACACCTGAAACACACCCAAGGTAAAGTCCTCAATCACATCCCTGAACACACCTGAAACACACCCAAGGTAAAGTCCTCAATCACATCCCTGAACACACCTGAAACACACCCAAGGTAAAGTCCTCAATCACATCCCTCAACACACCTGAAACAGCCAGAAAGTCCCCAATCACATCCCTCAACACACCTGAAACACACCCAAGGTAAAGTCCCCAATCACACCCAAGGTAAAGTCCTCAATCACATCCCTGAACACACCTGAAACACACCCAAGGTAAAGTCCTCAATCACATCCCTCAACACACCTGAAACACACCCAAGGTAAAGTCCCCAATCACATCCCCCAACACACCTGAAACAGCCAGAAAGTCCCCAAACACATCCCTGAACACATAGAAGGGATATAGAAGGGACATAACTTGTAATAGCCTCTAATGACGTTTACCACTTCGATGAAACTGAACAGTGAATCACTGGACCTTAGAGGACTGGGCCACCCGTGCCCCCACATAACACTTAATATTTCACTGCTGTGAACATAACACTTTGACGGAACTATTGTCATAGAATAGTGAACTCCCCTCAAATTGTCTTCCTTTTTTGTAAGGGTCTGGCCCATTCATAGCCTGTTGACTTCCTTTTTACACTAGGTCCACATTGACAAGGCAAAACAATGACAGACAGTCGTTTATGGTATATCACTTCTTGCCGTTTGTTATTCTCTCAAAAATGTTTCCTTATAAACTGTAAATTTCTCATTTAACTCCTCAATCAAGACTGTTCATTTCGCAAAGCACCATTTTTGTTCCTTGACCCGCATGTATTCTTTCGCTTCCAACAGCGGTCTCAAAGTTTTCAAGTATTTTTTTGTTAAAGTTGATTTTGTATACAATCCTATCCATATCAATGATACAGAATTTTCGCGAACGTAAATATTTTTTGTTACTATTGTTTATATTTTTTATGAATTTGCAAACACAAAATACCTTTTTTTGTCACAAATACAAGGGTTGTGACCCCTCCTGTGTGTTAGGTAGGGCGAATTTACGTTTCAAGATTTTACGTTTGTAATGAAATAATTTAATTTTCCGGTAGACACACTAAGTATATAATAAGTAGGATATTCCATGTGTCAAGTGAAATATTTTATTTCATTCATCTCGTGACAGGGGGAAAGGAGATATTTTCACGAGTGGCGTAATGTATTAAAGGATATATAACATTGTGTATATACACTCTGCACGGTTGACAGATGGAAGACAGTTACAGAATCAGGAACTGGATTTACTGGGAAGGATCAGATGCAGTGCAATCCTCCAAATAATTAATTCTCCTTACCTGACACCGGCGGCCCTATCAGTGTCCCAAGTCCTTGGAAGCAAATCATTAGTCCGAATGAACTTGAAAGTTTGTCCACTCCAAGAATGTCCACTATGATGACCGACTTCTGCGACACGTAGGCGCCGCTTAAGGCACCATACAGTCCACACAAAACACAGAACTGCCAAAATGAATCCAACGATGGACACACGAAGGACAGTGTTGCTATCACGAACATTACTCCATTGTATATATATGGCCGAAATTGTCTTATGCTTTTAAAGTCCAAGACAAATCCTGTTAAAATTCGCCCAATGGTATCAAGAACACCACTTATTGACATGAGCAGCGCAGCCTCTCTTTCAGTGCATCCTTGAGACTTTGCCAAGGCAGGTAAAAAGGTAAACGCAGATTTAAAAGACAAAGTAAACAATGCTATACTTATACAAAACATTAGGAAAGGAGGATTTTTCAACAGCGACAATTCTAAAAGTTTGGTCTTTTTCTCCCTTTTTTCTGGAACACACTTTGTAAATATTCCACACCAGCAGGGCCTTTTATTACTGGTACTACTTGTGTTATCAACAGAAAGAGCTCTTAGGGGAGCAACATGGTCTGTTGCCAAAGCAACACGGTTGGTTGCCATAGCAACATGGTCAGTTGCCACAGCAACATGGTTTGTTACCGTAGCAACATGGTCAGTTGCCACAGCAACATGGTCTGTTACCGTAGCAACATGGTCTGTTGCCGTAGTTTTGGGGTAATTGTGCCCGTCATAGTTTCTTGTACACTGGTCTTGAAGGATTTCTTTTGGGGTATCTTTGTTAGATCTATGTCTGTGGGTGAGCAACAACTCTACATCTTCACTAGGATGTGTTTCAGATGGGGCTTGCTTGGTGGAATCTCTCTTGGTTCTTCTTTCTTTTCTTCTGAAATGAACAGGTAAGACTAACCTGTAATCAATAAAGGCGCATACCAATATTACCAACCTATCAGTAGATTCAGGTTAAAGATAAGTATCACAATATCATTTTTTAATGCATCTATGCATATTTATTGATGAGTAAAAATAATGCTGTACCAGCATCTTGTTTTGTTTCAGTAATGAACTCTAATTCATACACTGGTGTTTCAAATTGCTTCTGAAATCAAAAGGGTCTGTCGGGTAGCCTAGTGGTTAAAGCTTTCGCTCGTCACGCCAAAGACCCGGGTTCGATTCCCGACATGGGTACAATGTGTGAAGCCCATTTCTGGTGTCCCCTGCCGTGATATTGCTGGAATATTGCTAAAAGTGGCGTAAAACCATACTCACTCACTCACTCTGAAATCAAAACATAGAGTCATACAATACATCATGATATGTATCGCAGTACTGCCTTGTGCATCGTACATTATTGGGATACACTTTTAAACTTCCAATGCCCATACCTTGTCATCAAATATACAAACTGACGGCCAAAAGAAACGTTACCAACGATATTTCTAGGACAAAATATGACCAACATAATTTGAAGCACTAATAACAATTGTATTGTAGAAATTCATCATTCAGAACAGTAAAATGCGAATTTACTAATTCAACCTTGACCTCCAACAGGGACATTTCTTGACAAGGGGTCATTCGTCCAGTATTCGATCAACAACATTGGTTACAACTTTAAGGTGACGACGGCCCAGACCGTTCAATACGGGATATGACCTCCATGAGCGGCAATGCATCTTTGAATGCGGCGCCGAACTGAGTAGACAAGCGTCCTCACATCGACTGCAGGTATCTGATTCCATTCCTCACGGAGGGCAACGATCAATGCTTGTCTCGTGAAGGGTTGACGTTTCCGAAGACATTGACTCGTAAAAAGCGAGCCTTTGATTCAAAGAGAGGTAAAAGTGGTTTATTCTTCTGCTGAGAAATCCACGTGCAGCCTGTTTTCTTCATGGCGGGATATAAGGGATTTATTTCCCTCCAAGGCGGGATACATAGATCATGTTGACCATTTAGATCTATTGATTCTGACATGGAGGTATGATAATATAGTTTATTTGTTTTAACCACCAACCTTTGTACTGACATGATCTTCTTATGCAGGTCAAGTGGTCGGTACAACGCTCCACTCACGAGCAAGTTCAGTGACAGTCCACTCAAGATGAGGAAAGCGCCCATAAAATTGAATTCGTCAAACAAGAAGTCGGCTAGCGGTGGTATGACAAAAGTTCCTGCACCAACACCTGATGTGGCTAGTCCTACAGCTAATCCTGGCTTCTTGGCAAAGTACTGTCCAACAGTGACTAGACCAGGAGCGTAGGACAAGCTGCGGCCAATGCCTGGATGAAAAAGGAGTGAGTGAGTAGGCGAGTGAGCGAATGAGTGAGTGGGTGGGTGAGTGAGCGAATGGGTGAGTGGGTGGGTGGGTGTGTTTTGGGTGAGTGAGTGAGTGAGTGAGTGAGTGAGTGGCTATTTCAGTGAGTGAGTGAGTGAGTGAGTGAGTGTGTGGCTATTTGAGTGAGTGAGTGAGTGAGTGAGTGAGTGAGTGAGTGAGTGAGTGAGTGTGGCTATTTGAATGAGTGAGTGAGTGAGTGAATGGGTGGGTGGGTGGATTGGGTGGCTGGGCAATTAATTTGTTGGTGAGTGAGTGAGTGGCTGATTGGCTGGATGGATGGGTTTGGGTGAGTCAGTGAGTGAGTGAGTGGCTGAGTGGCTGCATGAGTGAGTGAGCGAGTGAGTTAGCGAGTGAGTGAGTGAGTTAGTGAATGAGTGAGTGAGTGAGTGAGTGAGTGAGTGAGTGAGTGAGTGGCTATTTGAGTGAGTGAGTAAGTGAGTGTGTGGCTATTTGAGTGAGTGAGTGAGTGAGTGAGTGAGTGAGTGTGTGACTATTTGAGTAAGTGAGTGAATGGGTGGGTGGGTGGATTGGGTTGCTGGGTGGTTAATTTGTTGGTGAGTGAGTGAGTGGCTGATTGGCTGGGTGGATCGGTTTGGGTGAGTCAGTGAGTGGCTGCGTGAGTGAGTGAGTGAGTTAGCAAGTGAGTTAGCGAGTGAGTGAGTGAGTGATGAGTGAGTGAGTTAGTTAGTGAGTTAGTGAGTTAGTGAGTGTTTATTTCATCTATCTAAACAATAAAATGGTCTGAAAACACTCGCTCTAACACTCACCTCCGATTACACCAAAGCTGAAGTAGAGGAAGATGAGGTTTGGAGCAAAGCCGCTGATGAGAACACCAACAGTCATGAAAAGCCCACCGATCATGGTGGCCACACGACCGGAGAACCGGTTGCTGAAGGCACTTGACAGGGGGCCTGGAAAAGTGGATATGTTACTGAAGGCACTTGACAGAGGGCCTGGAAAAGTGGATATGTTACTGAAGGCACTTGACAGAAGGCCTGGAAAAGTGGATAAGTCACTGAAGGCACTTGACAGAGGGCCTGGAAAAGTGGATATGTTACTGAAGGCACTTGACAGAGGGTCTGGAAAAGTGGATATGTCTTCAAAGGCACTTGACAGAGGGCCTGAAAAAGTGGATATGTCACTGAAGGCACTTGACAGAGGGCCTGGAAAAGTGGATATGTTACTGAAGGCACTTGACAGGGCCAGGAAAAGTTGATATGTCACTGAAGGCACTTGACAGAGGGCCTGGAAAAGGGGATATGTTACTGAAGGCACTTGACAGAGGGCCTGGAAAAGTGGATATGTCACTGAAGGCACTTGACAGAGGGCCTGGAAAAGTGCATATGTCACTGAAGGGACTTGACAGGGTGGCAGGAAAAGTGGATATGTCACTGAAGGGACTTGACAGGGTGGCAGGAAAAGTGGATATCTTACTGAAGTCACTTGACAGAAGGCCTGGAAAAGTGGATAAGTCAAGGAAGGCACTTGACAGAGGGCCTGGAAAAGTGGATATGTTACTGAAAGCACTTGACAGAGGGCCTGGGAAAGTGGATATGTCTTCGAAGGCACTTGACAGAGGGCCTGGAAAAGTGGATATGTCACTGAAGGCACTTCACAGGGCCAGGAAAAGTGGATATGTTACTGAAGGCACTTGACAGGGCCTGGAAAAGTGGATATGTCACTGAAGGCACTTGACAGGGCCAGGAAAAGTGGATATGTTACTGAAGGCACTTGACAGAGGGCCTGAAAAAGTGGATATGTCACTGAAGGCACTTGACAGAGGGCCTGGAAAAGTGGATATGTTACTGAAGGCACTTGACAGGGCCAGGAAAAGTTGATATGTCACTGAAGGCACTTGACAGAGGGCCTGGAAAAGGGGATATGTTACTGAAGGCACTTGACAGAGGGCCTGGAAAAGTGGATATGTCACTGAAGGCACTTGACAGAGGGCCTGGAAAAGTGCATATGTCACTGAAGGGACTTGACAGGGTGGCAGGAAAAGTGGATATGTCACTGAAGGGACTTGACAGGGTGGCAGGAAAAGTGGATATGTTACTGAAGTCACTTGACAGAAGGCCTGGAAAAGTGGATAAGTCAAGGAAGGCACTTGACAGAGGGCCTGGAAAAGTGGATATGTTACTGAAGGCACTTGACAGAGGGCCTGGGAAAGTGGATATGTCTTCGAAGGCACTTGACAGAGGGCCTGGAAAAGTGGATATGTCACTGAAGGCACTTCACAGGGCCAGGAAAAGTGGATATGTTACTGAAGGCACTTGACAGGGCCTGGAAAAGTGGATATGTCACTGAAGGCACTTGACAGGGCCAGGAAAAGTGGATATGTTACTGAAGGCACTTGACAGAGGGCCTGGAAAAGTGGATATGTCACTGAAGGCACTTGACGGGGGGCAGGAAAATTAGATATGTCACTGAAGGCACTTGACAGGGCCTGGAAAAGTGGATATGTAACTGAAGGCACTTGGCAGGGGGCCTGGAAAAGTGGATATGTTACTGAAAGCACTTTATAAAACAATACATTTGTGTTGAATCTAACTTTTAACTCAAGGCATACCTAATTTTCTTTCACTTTGTACCAAAATGGCCATAAACATTTTTATTCAAAATGTCCTTTGTCATGGAGTCCACACTAAACATTTGACCTCTTGAACAAGTTACAAAGCATAGGTCCATTTAGATCAAGGTCAAAGTGCAAAAGTCAAATCAAGGTCAAGGTCCAAGTACAAAAGTCAAACCAAGGTCACAACATTAAATTACTAAAAATGCAACACCTACCCCACAACTTCCCCACCCCCAACTTCCCTAACTTCACCACCACCAACTTCCCCACCACCAACTTCCCCGCCCCCCATTTCGAAAACTTCCTCACCCCCAACTTCCTCACCACCATCTTACCCAACTTCCCCACCCCAACTTCCTCACCACCATCTTCCCTAACTTCCCCTACCCCAACTTCTCCACCCCCAACCTTCCCACCCCCAACTTTCCCACCACCAGTTTTCCCAACTTCAACACCACCAACTTCCCCACCACCAACTTCCCTAACTTCAACACCACCAACTTCCCCACCACCAACTTTCCCAACTTCCCCATCCCCAACTTCTCCACCACCAACTTTCCCAACTTCCCCATCCCCAACTTCTCCACCCCCAATTTTCCCAACTTCCCCACCCCCAACTTCCCCACCCCCAACTTCCCCACAACCAACTTCCCCACCACCAACTTCACATTTAGCAAATGACATAACATTTAAACGAACATGGCTGAATAATACTTGATGTACAGGAATACTACCAAAAGCAACATCATTCAGGGTCAACCATCAAAGGGGACATGGTGACCTTGGGGTTTGTCCTACTGTAAACAATGAGCCAATGAATGGACCCTTGATTTCAGACTTAATGTTCACTCCATACCTACCCAGCATCAGACGTATTGTAGAGGCCAGAGACCCTACCCAGGCAGTAGCTTGGGCACTCTGGTTGAACTTGCTGATGAGCTTAAGGTACAGCACACCGTCTGATCTCTCGAACCCCCCTGTGAAAAACATTAGACTATCAGATCCCAACAACCTGAAAACACACTTTGAGTTGCAATGCTTACAAACTGTATACTGCATTAGCACATGCCTATTTTTTATGTATTGATACAATCATATTTATTTACAGAAACTTAAATTGATGACCTAATGCAATGTGCATATAACAGAGTGAGTGAGTTGGGTTTAACGCCACTTTTAACAGTATTCCAGTTATATCACGGCGTGCCAGCTTAATGTGGGAGGAAAGCCCGAAGTGATGCAGGTCTCAGACGTTAACAACTTGGTGAAACCCACGAGCACTGGTATGGTGCTGACAAACCTAGAAACAGCAACTGTGCACAGCAAATCACAGCGCCTTAGATGACAGGGCCACGCGTGCCCCCTTTTCGATGCAAAAGAAGCAATGATAATGCCATGCATCCAACAGCACTTAGTTTGTTAAATGGTGTATTACATATAGATGAGAACTAAGTGTTTGACATACCTGTTAAAAAATGTTGAAAAAAACATCCCAAAACAACAATCCACTTGTAAAACCCATAATCATCAGAGTTCTCACAAGGTTTGTCTTCTACATCAATTTTAACTTCACCTTTATCCCCATCATCATCATCATCATCATCATCATCATCATCCTCATCCCCATGGTTATCCTGCACAAGTTTGGTACTTTGTTCATTATCTCTCGCCAGGCCTTGTTCCTCTTCTGTACCAGCTAAGAGCATTTCATCATTATCATCCTCCAAGGGTTGTCTCCCTTCATGACTGCCTGGTGAGAGTTGTTCCCCCTGGCAATCGTCATACATTGGACTTCCAGCCTTGGCCTTTCTGTTTCTGCTGATGTCAGCTGAAAGTTGACCATTTCCTGTTTCATTTGTGTTACTTCCCACCATAGTGGCCTGTCAACATCTGAAAATACATTGATGTCCTGATGAAAATAATTCAGTTCAGTGCAATGCCAGCAAAACCCAAACATGGCTCTGCCCTTTTTAATTATTGGATCAATGGACATTTGAAGACTTGTCTTCCTTTTTTTCTGTTGATGTATTTCAGCCAAGACTTAGATAGGTCAATCTAGGAAATGGAGCATCCCTTTGACAACTCATTCACACATGCACAGATGTTTACTTGTACTTTCTAATACACAACCACCAAGCACTCATACAGATGTTTAGGTGTGTCACCAGGCACTCATACAGATGTTTAGGTGTGTCACAGGACACTCATACAGATGTTTAGATGTATCACAGGGCACTCATACAGATGTTTAGGTGTGTCACAGGGCACTCATAGAGATGTTTAGGTGTATCACAGGACACTCATACAGATGTTTAGGTGTATCACAGGGCACTCATACAGATGTTCAGGTGTATCACAGGGCACTCATACAGATGTTTAGGTGTGTCACAGGGCACTCATACAGATGTTTAGGTGTGTCACAGGGCACTCATACAGATGTTTAGGTGTATCACAGGGCACTCATACAGATGTTTAGGTGTATCACAGGGCACTCATACAGATGTTTAGGTGTGTCACAGGGCACTCATTCAGATGTTCAGGTGTGTCACAGGGCACACATACAGATGTTTAGGTGTATCACAGGGCACTCATACAGATGTTTAGGTGTATCACAGGGCACTCATACAGATGTTTAGGTGTGTCACAGGGCACTCATACAGATGTTTAGGTGTATCACAGGGCACTCATACAGATGTTTAGGTGTATCACAGGGCACTCATTCAGATGTTCAGGTGTGTAACCAGGCACTCATACAGATGTTTAGGTGTATCACAGGGCACTCATACAGATGTTTAGGTGTATCACAGGACACTTATACAGATGTGTAGATGTGGCCTTTGGGATTAAAGGAGAATAAGTTTCATTTTAAATTTAAATCTGTAACTGTCATTTCATGAAGGCTAGATTGTCATTTCTCAAAAGTTTTCCTTTCCTTTAAATTGACATTGATAATACGCTTTTTTTCATTTGTGAATACCCAAATATATTTTGTAAAACAATCAACATGCTATCGCTAAACAAAAATCTGAGTACATCCCATTACGGGTCACGTCAGAACAACCTTTCATCCAACCAATCAGAGTGTCGCCTACCAGATCATGAAAATGCCAGTCGGAATGTGTTTTCTAATCATGCAACCACGAAACAATTAACATCAGTTACGGGTTTTATGATTATATCCATTACAATCTAGGCCATCTATAAGCAATTCCAGAATGTTCTTCTTATCAGTTTTAAATTTTTTAATTGAGAATACGTCAAAATGTTTCGAAGCGTAGTCATCAGTTTGAAACTAGTGTCGTAAAGCTCGAGAAAGCTGCCTTCTGATTGGCTAATGTCCATTTCTTGTCAGTCATTTCATTGGTCAGTCAAAATTCGCGAAAGGTCGTTCTGACGTGACCCGTAATGGGATGTCCTCAGATCTTTGTTTAGCAGTAGCGAGAACTAAGATCTGATTTTAATGAGATTGTCACAGTTTTGTCATGTTATTTTCTGAAGCTAGACTGAAAAATAAGAAACACATCCAATGCCCAAACAGTTTTCAATTTAGACACTTAGATTTTAGGCATCAGACACAGGACGACCCTTCAGACATACAAGAACACCCTACAGACACACAGAAACACCCTACAGACACAAGAACATCCTACAGACACCCTACAGACACACAAGAACATCCTACAGACACCCTACAGACACACAAGAACACCCTACAAACACACAAGAACACCCTACAGACACACAAGAACATCCTACAGACACCCTACAGACATACAAGAACACCATACAGACACACAAGAACACCCTACAGACACACAAGAACACCCTACAGACACACAAGAACACCCTACAGACACACAAGAACATCCTACAGACACACAAGAACACCCAACAGACACACAAGAACACCCTACAGACACCCTACATACACACCAGATTAAGCTGACATGCCATGATATAACTGCAATACTGTTAACTGTTGCGTAAAAACCATACTCACTCTTACTCACTCACTCAGCAGCAGCAGCTACAATCTGACCTCATTATTTAATAATGATAATAATAAGTGCATTTATAATGCGCCAGATTTCATTCACCAAGTGGATGCTGATAGCGCTACACTATTATTACCCCGGTCAATGGATCAGTGAGCCCTCGATTTTCATTCTCAGCTCCCTGGGGAGTATACAACCCAAGCTGCCTGTAGGGCGCTAGAAGGTTAACAGCCACATTACCATCTCATCCTACCGGGTACCCACTCACTGCTGGGTGAACAGAGGCACATTTCGAACAAAGTCACTTGCCTAAGGAGACGCCACATGTGGTACGTGTGCTTTAGCGTGGGGCAGGACCGAAGCCCTAGAAACTCTCAGGAGTCAAGCTGCTGAGCGTGGTCACCCATCCAACTACTCTCTGAGACCGACGTTGCTTAATGTCACCTGATTTGTGATCTGTGCGCTGTGCACAGTATCACGTGCCACCACATTTACTGATTATTGTTGAAATTATTATTGTTCTGTCAACTGTTAGTAATAGTACTATTTCATTTCAGTCACACTACAATGCCACTGATAGAGCTGTCAAGTCATTCCTCACACCCGGTACGTGTCGCTGGCCACAGAACAATTGATGACATCAGCCTTGAAAACCTAATCACATTCATTATCAGTCATTGCTATGGGGTTTTCAATCTTGTTTAATATTCACGTCTGAATGGTGGACATCGTGCATCTTCACGCCCAATGCTAGAACATTATCACAGAGCTACAGATTAGCAGCGTATTTGCGTAAAATATCCCCCCCCCAAAAAAATATTCAAAACCCAGTTACTTTCAATTAACTTTCGTACAGAAACGCATGCATTAAATGAAAAATTCAAATTATAAAAACAGGTGGTGTAAATACCAAATGAAGCTTTTACAGCATGCGTACAAAGGAGCTAATTTCCGAAAACACAATTACGAGCTAATTTACTTTCTGAGTCCCCTTTATATTCAGAACAGTTATATACGTCTAAAACATTATTCATTTTTTTTAATCTTAAAATATTCATAAATTTGGGGAAATACCCAAAAGAGTGATGAATAGATGAGTGAAAAAATATTGGTTACACAATGAAAAATGTAATAACCCAAATAAAATAAACCCTAGAGTAAAAACACAATTGCTCAAAAGGTTATCTGCAGCTAATGGTCTCCTACCCCGTTATCTCAAAAAGACAGATATCTCAAACCTATTCACCAGTCCTGTTTGCTTCACGAAATAAATACATAAAAATTTGCCCGCTTATCTAGAAAATAAAAATACACAGTGCTATCTCTAAACTTTGACTCAGTTTTTTTTTGTATTTTTTACTTTGCTATAGAATTTTTACCATTATCTCAAAGTTGACATTTGAAACATTAAGTCCCCCCCCCACCCCCACCTACATGACTGCTGGAATATTGGTAAAAGCGGTGTAAAACCACACTCACTCACTCATTAAAAGACTCTTCACTATTTTCCCTTCAAATAGTTCTCTCGCAATTGTGATATTTGGGGGCGGGGGGTTGAGCTGGGTTTTTATCGGAAGCCATGAGCTGTTATAATGTTCATCTTGTCCAGCTGACATGAAATACTCCAAAGTGTCCTGATAAAAATGCACCAATTTATAATGCAAGGAAGGGACACGCATATTTTGGGCCTTATTTTCATGACTTCCAGTAACTAAGTGTTATTAATCATGCAACTTCTTTTCACTTTGAGCCATGGCTATAGCACACAACACCCATCTCCCCGAGGCAAGCGTGTCCACTAGCCTATATCAAAGCCTAGTTTCTACAATCTCCCCGAGACAAGCGTGTCCACCAGCCTATATCAAAGCCTAGTTTCTACAATCTCCCCGAGACAAGCGTGTCCACCAGCCTATATCAAAGCCTAGTTTCTACCATCTCCCCGAGACAAGCGTGTCCACCAGCCTATATCAAAGCCTAGTTTCTACCATCTCCCCGAGGCAAGCGTGTCCACCAGCCTATATCAAAGCCTAGTTTCTACAATCTCCCCGAGACAAGCGTGTCCACTAGCCTATATCAAAGCCTAGTTTCTACCATCTCCCCGAGGCAAGCATGTCTACTAGCCTATATCAAAGCCTAGTTTCTACCATCTCCCCGAGGCAAGCGTGTCCACCAGCCTATATCAAAGCCTAGTTTCTACAATCTCCCCGAGACAAGCGTGTCCACTAGCCTATATCAAAGCCTAGTTTCTACCATCTCCCCGAGGCAAGCATGTCTACTAGCCTATATCAAAGCCTAGTTTCTACCATCTCCCCGAGACAAGCGTGTCTACTAGCCTATATCAAAGCCTAGTTTCTACCATCTCCCCGAGACAAGCGTGTCCACTAGCCTATATCAAAGCCTAGTTTCTACCATCTCCCCGAGGCAAGCGTGTCCACTAGCCTATATCAAAGCATAGTTTCTACCATCTCCCCGAGGCAAGCGTGTCCACTAGCCTATATCAAAGCATAGTTTCTACCATCTCCCCGAGGCAAGCGTGTCTACTAGCCCATATCAAAGCCTAGTTTCTACCATCTCCCCGAGGCAAGCGTGTCCACTAGCCTATATCAAAGCATAGTTTCTACCATCTCCCCGAGGCAAGCGTGTCCACTTGCCCACATCAAAGCCTAGTTTCTACCATCTCCCCGAGGCAAGCGCGTCCACTAGCCTATATCAAAGCCTCGTTTCTACATCTTCCTGAGGCAAGCGTGTCCACTAGCCTATATCAAAGCCTCGTTTCTACATCTTCCCGAGGCAAGCGTGTCCACTAGCCTATATCAAAGCCTCATTTCTACATCTTCCCGAGGCAAGCGTGTCCACTAGCCTATATCAAAGCCTCGTTTCTACCATCTCCCCGAG